TACTGATTGTTCTACAACTTCTAGTCTAAAATAGGAATGTCTTACTAGTTGTCTTCAGAAGACTTGAAGGAAGACGTTTCTGCTAAACGATCCAAGCTCACCCCACTTGATAATGGCGTAGATCTCGATGCCCTTCTCAAAAAGAAGAGTATGCATGACAAAGAAGCAAACAAGGTCTTTTTGAAGTTCTCAAAACTTCTACTTCTACGTTTCGTTTCGCTCTTTTCTATTCGCTGACGACCTCATATTTTCAGGCTCAAGGAATTATGGCTCAAAAGCATCTTGATGCGTTGGAAGCGAAAGAAAAAGTTGAAACTTTTGTCACGGAGTGCATGTCGGTAAAAGATGTGAAGGTTGTAAATTGTAAAAAGGTAGGTCTAATCAAGTTTTCTGAGGATATATATCGGATTTAATTACGGTTTTAAATTTTAAACGGAGTAAGTTGGAAATTCTCAGTCCTAATGGGGGTCAGTGTTGTCACCTGACTGTTACGTTCATACGCTCCTCATCCTTAAGAAGGAGTAGGTGCGGCATTTGAACGTAGCATAGAATGGGTTACTCGTGGGATACTCCAGTTTGAGTCAACTGTCATTTTGTTCATTGGTGGCCAGAGGCTGATTACAATCAAGCATAAATAAAAATATCTCATGAAAAGCACATCCACAGCCACGTTTAGTTGAAGTCCGCAGCCACGTATGCCACATCTAGAGAGTTTTGAGTGTACTTTGCGAGAGTAGGAGTATCGGCGAGTTGACGTTTTGTAGATGTCGCATGTTTTCAAAACGTCCATTCGCCTGTTCTCCCAAACTCCTAGTACACTCCTTGGCGCTCATTTTAAAATCCGCCGAATTCTCCTACTCTCCCTGTGCAAAGTATGAAAGCAGTCTAAGATAGACTGGTACGTTTCTGCCTCGTCAGGACTTGATCGACGCACGTCAGCTGCCCGCAGTGGGTGTGAAAAGGGTAGCAGCTGGTCCCTGTAGGGCACATACTACACAGTGAAAATCACAGAGGACAGATTGCCTTTATACGTTGTAAATATGGGGACTGTGCGAATCGGAATAATGCTCTCATAGAAAACTGTACGTATCGATCTGGTGTATCGGAGGCTCTCCCACATCGTCGATTTCATGAATTCGTGGATTCTCCACATTTGCAGTGGATGAACGGAACCTAAAAGCAGCGTATCTTGTCCGGCTTCCAATCAGTTTTCCAAGAAAGGGCGTATATGTCTTATAATGTGACACTTGACGCAATATTCTCATAGGAAAGCCCGGTTTCAATCAGTCAAGTGGGATTTCAAGAAGTTGATTCTTCTGTACGGGAATCAGTCCGTTGGATTGGCATTAAAGCATGCAGAGCGTCTTGTTTCTTCATCATCCCCTCCCTTTTATCTATTAGTATAAGATAAGTTATTGCAATAATGAAACGAGATCTGTAACTCTCACCATACCGGAGCAAATTCAAAATAGTATGACCATTTTTGTTCAGTGCGGTTATACTGCTCAACGGCAGAGTGATCTTTGCATGCGCGAGGGCCACTGCATTACGCGCACGACGGCAGAGAAGCGATTTTTCAAGTGTCTTTCGTGTCATCGACGGATCGTGGTATTCAGCTTGATGCCTACTAAACCATGCAAGGTTAGTCAACTTGAGCTTGTAAGAAGTAGAGGAATTAGCTTCTTTCTGCTTCTTCATATGTCTACTACTATTTCTCGACCTTCTCTACGTTTTTAATTACAAGTATTGGACTTCAAAGACACTTTATGTTTACCTGTGAGATAGATCCTTTTCCATGGGTGAGAGAGCAGGTCCGCAGTACTTCCGCCATGCAAAAATGCGTAGCAATGAAGAGGAAGGCTCGTGATAACTCGATGTTTACTCTATCTCCGTCCCTCCCTTTACGCGATGCGCACGCCACGCCTTGCGGCACACGGCCAGCCGTAGGCTTAATGTCCAAGTGCGAACTATGAATCTTGACAAGTCCCTCAGTTACTGTCAGCAACTGTTCAGCTATGGTTAGTTGTTTTTATTCGGCTGACGTTTAGGCGTCGCCACTGTCTGAGCCTGGAAAGTGGGAACTCATTCTAAAAGCTACTCATCCACCCACTATTTCAACCTACAGAGAGAGTCCAAATGGGTCGTAAACCTATGATGACGTCACGGAAACTTAAGCGCCAACCTTTAGGAGTGTACATTAATAGTAGTTGAACCTTGTTGAACTTTCTCTGTAGGTTGAAGTAGTGTGTGGGCAAGTCTGTAAAAACCCTCGACTTGACCGGCTCTGAAGAAGGCGACGACGTCGAAACGTCAGCCAAATAAAAACTCTTAACAATCTTGGCGTGAAGCTGACACCGACCTGTTCGCTGACAGTACGTAGGCCTAATGTCAAATGGTACCTGACTGTAATCATACGGCTGCCTAAATGGTGTTCTTGCGTTGTGCATCTTGCGTGCTGAAGTGCGGGGATATCATAATGTTACCACTCTCTAGCTTCTCTGTCGCGCTTTTTTGAATGTTCAGAGTGCTATCTTCTACTGTTGCGGATCTGCTTACAGGGTACAGCATCGTTGTGCGAAGTCCG